TATGTTCAATGTATTCGATTTTTCTTTTGAATAGGTATAATCAATACAATTGAAAAATATATAGGATGATAGAGAATTTCAAGCTCTATCAGAATATATAATTAGTTTTTTCAAAAGGTACTGTTCTAGTGATAAAAAAGTTTAAAAACTAATTTTCATGATACTGACAAAATTTTTTGTTGGAGAATCTGAACATGAGGGTGCCTTCATTGCACTGCATTTATTTTCGTAATGTACAAATGCAAACCAAAACATAAATATACAGACTGACAGATAACTCCACACGCTTTCAGAATATCTAATTAGTTTTTAAAAAATGGGTTTTTATAGTGACAATATATTAAAAATACGGACTAAAGCTATTTTTTTCCAGGCGTATATATACAAAGGTGTTCTTTTTGACAATAGATCAGCTACTAGGATTTTCTATCATTGAAATAACTTTATGCAAATAGTATTATTTATTTATTATCTTTGTCTTAAAAGTTGATAAATTTATTTTCAAAAGATTTTTCTTCCTATATAACAATTGAAATCTATAATAAAAAAAAACATTCTCGTTTTCTAATCTAATCATACTAGTTAAAGGAATTTATTTATTGGCTTTCTACTGTTTATTAAGAAGATGTGTAAGCTTTCGAAGTATTCAACAAAGCATTTCCAAACATAAAATAAAAAGATTTTGACTTAAATATAAATATTTGTTTTTCATTTTCTAGTGATATTAACAAAGATTGTAAAAGGATAAGAATAAAGATTACTCTTGTTTACATAGGATTGAATTGGAAAAAGCTTAAAAGTAAAATAATTAAGAGATTGATAGACTTTTCCATTGAGTTTAGTTTTTCAAATGAAATAAAATGTCTTTAGGATTTCAAAAATAAAATAAAATAGAAGATTTTTTTCGAATTGATCTGATAATAGAGAAAACTTTGCATTTTCCCACTGTCAGGAAACAAAATGCAACATTTCTGTATATGGCCGAAACGGAACATACCCACAGTTCATTTGGCTTTGATTCTTTGCAAGGGTTAGTTTTTCGAATAAGTTCTTTTAGCATAGACATGTGGAAAATGTTGGCTCTTTCAACTGATTATTAATTAAGAAGTAATTAGCAAATATCCCTGTAATCATACAAAACGAAATCCGAAACGTTTTCTCTTAAAAACGGGTTTTCTAGGGATCCTGCCACTTTCTTAAAACTTTTTATTCGGTTATAAGAACATTTTCGTTTGTATAGTCGTACTCTGTCACGTCACTAATGAAAAGTAAATCGATTTTTTTGAATAATCTAAGCGTGCTCAGAAAAAACTATGGATAGAGATTTTGTAATTTGAAGAGTCGTCTAAAGAATGTCCTATTTACCTTTCAAAAATGTTGCATTAAATCAGAGGTTTTTTTAAACAAAAATGCATGAAATGAAACTTGATCTCCTATTGTTATGTCTTGTCGGTAAGAGTAGCTTTTTAATGATGACTCACTCCTCTGACCAAGGGTATCAAAAATAATTTAACGCACGTCTTATATAGAAAAATTAGCTTTAGAAAACGTTCCTTATCCCGAAATATACTCGTTTTAATTTTGTGAAGTCATGTCGGTAACAAATGATTTTGTCCATATATTCATTTGAATTTCTATCGTTATTATGGACTTTAAATCATTAGGATTTCTTTCTGTTGCTCTATAACCATTTTGTTTGGTATTGTTTTAAAAAAAACGATGAACTAATTTATGCATCTCTCAAAAGCAGATTGGTTTTAGCACAACAAAAGTTTTGATAAGCGTCAAATAAGAGTATTATCGGACGATTGAGGATGAGAGATATTAATCATTTAAAGTCCATAATAACGATAGAAATTCAAATAAATATTTACAAAAATGAAAAGGGCATTCTATAGAATTGTTGATCTAATGATAGGTGAAATTCTTGTATTTCTTCCTGGTTGGAATGAAATCGTTAAATGTACACAATTACTTGGTCAAAAAACATTATTATCATCGTTATCTGTATATATTACTATAACATAGTTTATTACGATAACATAATCAACAAGAAATATTTGATCGACCACCTCATCCAACTTTACGTAAAGTTATTTTATCAAGATCAATTAGTGAAAGATGTATTACTATTAATGATCTTGTTTATGCTATTGATAGTGGTCGAACAAAAGCAAGTGATTATCATCTTGAAAGACAAAGAAAATGTCTTTTATCAACGAACATTTCATGAGCGAATTTACTTGAAAGAAAAGGTTTTATTTAAAAGAAAAAAGTTCATATGTTTTTCATAAAAATTTGTTAAAATAGGACGAGCTGATCGAACTCAATCCGGTGAATGTTATCGTTTATTTACTCGTTGTAATCAACGTCTTTCATTTGTTGATTTTCCTCAAGGTGAAATGATCACATCACGTTTAGATAAGATTTATTTACAAGGAAAATTATTAAATGTAAATAATGTTAAAGCATTTCTTCAAAATGCACTTTATCCACCATCAATTGAACCTATTCAACATGCTGAACAATTTTTATATGATATTGGTGCATTTATATCTCATACAAATCAATTAACACCAATTGGAAAAATTCTTCCTCAGTAAATTTATTCAAAAGAATAAAAATAAAAGAATATTTAATAATTTATTTCGTTTACCCATGGCTCCTCAAATCGGCAAATTATTAATCATGGATTATTTATTTTCTTGTTTTCATTCAATATTAACAATTCCATCAATTTTAACCTATCGAGATCCGTAAGTATAGAAATAAATATATTTTTATTTTAATTCAAATTGAATTCTATTCAACTTTTGTTACTCCAATTGATAGAATTCAAGAAATCAATCAAATATGTCCTTGATTTGATGATAATACAATGTCCGATCATTTAATCTTATTAAATATTTATCAACAATGGAAAAAACAACGAAATTATCGTGAAAAAAAAAACATTTTTGTCATGAAAATTTTCTCAATTTAAATCATATGAAAATGATTGATAAAGTCTAAAATCAATAAAGACATCTTATTCAGGATTATTTTGCTTCATATAAAGATTTTAAAAAAATAAACTAAGCAATTTTTCCTAGTTTATTTTAATGAATAGCTGATACAAACAAAAATCAACATAATAATAATTTGATATGTGATGGACTTTATCGAATTATTGGATGTATTCGTCTTCAATCAGATAAATCATAAAAACGTTCTTTAATACATCCAAGATCAATTTATTAATAGAATATATAATTGATCTGTGAGAATTTTTTCTATGATGATCATATTCGCCGTTCATCTATTCAATCAACATTAATTGTTTATCATGAACAAAATTCGTACATCAAGTATATTTATAGATGATAGAAGTTTTATATCTCGAAATGTTTTACTTTTTTGTTTTGGTAAATCTCAATCATCAATTTGAAAAATGTTCAGATAGAATAGATAATATAATTCTTGTTGATAATTCGATTAAAATAAATATTGATAATAATACAAAAGAATTAATTTATCAATTAAAAGTCAAATTTAATTATTTAGTTGAAAACAAAATCTTTTTCTAGAAAATGAACAAGATTTTATTGAAAGAATTATTCATTTTATTAGAAAACAAGGTCAAAATTTATTAATAGAAAAAAACTGAATTGATCAATGTTCGAAGAAAAATATTTTTTATGAAGATTGGGATGATCAAATCAAAGATTTACCAAATAAAAATTTTTCTCTAGTTAATCAGAATTAAATCTTTGTCAGATATTTCTTTTTCAAATACAAAAAAAACAAATGTTTTGTGTTATTTTTTGAGATATTTTATTTTTTTAAATTTGATTTTCAGTTGAACAATGTTATGTCGAATGTTTCAATTGATCGAATACTAACGGTGCATCTAAATCACCAATGATCACCACCTACAACTGATGGAGATAGAATCGAACGACTCTTTCAACCTTTATTCTATCGTATTCCTATTCTCTATGCTCAAACGATTCCTAAACATATTCGTTGATTATGATAAATAGCAATACTTCTTATCGTATAAAAATCAAATGTTATTTTTCAAATAAATAATTGAATTTTATTCTAGACAATTATTTCTATGGATTTACTTATGTTATCTTCATGTTCTATTCAATAAAAAACGAGTGAGATGTCTTTCTCATGTTACATGATACTTGACTAAGACAATCTATACTTCGTCTTGAATTATTTTTTCAATCTCCACCAAAAGATAATAATCTTCAACAATCTTATGCCAACGAATTTCAAAATAATCATGATCGTAATCAAGAAAATTATTTTTTATCCAAACAAAATCAATCCGTAGAGATTAAAATATTAACAATTTATTGGTTACTTACAGAAAAAAGTTAATGTAAACTTAATTCTTGTTGTTCACTAAGGAGCTGTCGGTCCATGTTTTTATGGACTCGGCCAGGTCTAAAAGGACCAACAACTCTCTAATATGGATCTAGAGCCAGACTCGGTCTGGTTCAGGTCTGGAAGGACCCATAGCTCTGTACAGGCGACTGATACATCTTCCATATACGTTGTCTATTGGTACATTATGTGCCATAGAATTGTGAGAGATTTTATGACCAAATGTCTTCTACTGGTTTTAGCTAAGGTTCACAACTATTATCAGAACTGAGATCATTTCTTGGGAAATTGAAAAGTAACCATCAATTCTCTTATTTCTAATATCTAAATTAGAATCAGTAGACTGAATTCTGTTGAAAAAAAAAATTCAGATATTGTACAAAACTAAATTTTAATTTTCCAAATAGAGTAAACATTTCTCTATCGATATATTGAAAAATAATCAGTTAATGTTTATTAAGAAGCTTCACAATAGCACCGAGGTCATTTTTTATTATTGAATTTTCTTTGGATTTTTAAAGCTGCCGATCTGCATATTTTTTTCTATTTCTGTTGTCTACATGTAAAATGGTAATGAGCGTCAGAAAAAACATCAATTACTTGTTACGATGGACCTCTATTCCAGATAAAAAAAGTACGATTTGATTCGTCATGATGTATTATATCGACTGACTTATTTCAAAGGACAATTTCAATCTATTTATCTATTTTTTCATTTCTTCAATAGAAAAAATATGAAGTAAAAACAAAAATTCATTTGTGTTCCTTACCTTGCCGCAACATGTTTTTTTTTCTATTTATGCGGATCAATATTTTTTATTTTGTTTGTTCTGTTGGTAAGTTAGAATATATATATATAAAATTATTTGCTCCTATTTCTATATATTTTTTAATTTAACGGTAGAATAAAGAAAATAAATACGTTGATAGGCTTAAATAGGAAACTAAAATACATGTTGCGACACGGTACGAAACACAACTGCGTATTTTTTTTCCTTCATATTTTTGCATCGAAGAAATGAAAAAATGGATAAATAAATTCATTTTATTTTGAAAAAAAAACATTAGTCGATACATCATGCGAAGAGAAATCGAATGTTATGTTTTTTATGTGGAATCGAGGTCATTTATAATAAGTAATTGAGGTTTTTTTTTGAAACTCATTATAATTTTACATGCAAATGGCAGGTTAAAAGTTAGATGAAAATTCAATAAAAATTTAATGATGCTCCGACTGAGTCAATTTTTTTTTTACAAATATCAGTTGTAAAGTTGGAGTAGAGGAATCAATTTTTCTAAACGAAAGTTTCACTGTAGTAAAGAGAGATTGGATTTCTTGAATATGTAACACGTAAACTCTTTGTGCTGAATTGTAAAGCTTTTGTGAAAACACAATATAAAATGAGTGTTTGGAGTTTCTCTTCAGAGACAGTGACAAACATAGTCACGAAACTAAAGTCTATTGCGAGATTATTATCAACGACAATTGAATTTAACATACGTGAGGATGGGTGCGTCTAGTTGCAGGAAATATCGACGACAGCACCCACACGTGTATAAATAATTGTCAGATTTTATTCCGTAAAAGTTTGTAAATAGTTAAAGAAAATAATTAACCTATTTTTAAAGCTTTACTCGTACTAACAGTTATTATGCACTTAATATGATAACAAAATAGATTCATCTATTCAGATTTATTTTATCTGACTAAAGTTATTAATGTGCTTAATACTGGAACTGTCGACTTTTCTTTTATTTATTTATTTATTTATTTTTCGTTTCTTTCTTTGACCTAGATGATCGAGTCATTCCAGTTTGCATTCTATTTTGGAACAAAAACATTTGAAAAGTCGACGATGAGAATATATCATGACGATTATTTATATTTTTTTTCACAATAATCATCAAAATCATATTTCAATCTTTTTTGAGAAAACAAAATAAACATCATATAAATAAATAAATATTATTATTCGTTCATGTATCTTTGTTCAGTCTTTCATTTGAAAAACATTATGCATCGATGACATAATATAAAATCAAACTATGAATATTTAGCTGGAACTCCACAAATTTCACATTCAATTATCATTGTCTTTAACTGTAACTTAACAGCGATGAGATTATTGGATGATAAGTTTTCATCATCAACAGATATATTTATTTGAGTAAATCTAAAAGGCAGATAAACCAGAAATTTAAAAAGTGCTAGAAACATCACCACTTTTTTTTTCTTTATCATATCTTCTGTCACGTCTTGTGCTGCGTATCAATGAAGAAGAAGTAAGGGTGTGGTTGTGAATGTGGGTGTGTGGGTGGGGTGTGGGTGTGGGTGTGGGTGTGGAGGTGGGTGCGGGTGTGGGCTATGGATGTGAGTGTGAGTGTGCGTGTGATTAAAGAGATCCCACACCTACATCCACACCCCACACCCACACCCACACCCCACAACCACACCCACACCCACACCCACACCCCACACCCACACCCCACCCCACCCACACCCTCTGTCACGGTCTGTGATGGGTCCAGAGCCCTGTTTGTCACGGTCTGTGATGGGTCCTTAGCTTGTCTGTCACGGTCTGTGA